TGCACTGATCCCTGTTGGTCTTGGGATGTCCGCCCTCATCCCTTTGGGAAGCAGTGAAGGCTCTAGAATGGTGTTCCCATACCCTGACCGTCTTAGAAAGTGCAACGACAAGAAGGAATAAGTCTTCAGACCACCCTAAATGGTGAACACAGTGTTTTGTATTGCAAGGTTGCGCCATCTTGAACCAAAATGGTACTGGAGACACATGCTGGGAAACTCGCACTTGCTAAGGCACATCAAAAGGTCTACAATGATCTAAGGAAAGAGGTCTACAATGTTCATGCCTATCATCTTAGACCTTGTCTACTCAGGGCCCAGGGGGCCTCCCATTCTAGACCCTTAGTAGTTGGGGGTATGGAAAAAATGTGTCTTCTGCCTTCAAAATTCTAAACCAAAACAGAAACGGATCTTTCATCTGCCTAGATTGATTTCTCAAACCTTGCACTGGGAGCCCCGAACACTGCTGTAGGTGCCCAGCCTCAAGGGCTGCCGAGCCAACTGAGCGGTGTACTGGCTACAGTGACCTCTCCAGTACAAAAAATGCTGAAGCCATGCAGCCATCCCTACTGTATCATGTAGGAATTGAAAAAGTTGTCACCCCAGTCACTCTGATTCTTTGGACATCTGACATGTAAATCTGCTTTTCGTCCACCCAGTGACGAAACATTGATGACAAACCATGCATCCGGTGGTACTCCAGGCTGAACTACATTACCAAAACTCGCAAACAGTTGGCAGTGCTGTTGAACAAATCTTTCGAGTGGTTGACTCAAATGCTTTGTTGAACGGTTTCCCATCTAGCTGAGAGCAACTTTGGGACACCTCTAATAGACAAGTGAATTCACATGGACAAAACAGGCTGTCTCAATGATTAAAGACTTATTACTCGATTCCCAAATCCCCTATATGCCCTTCTGAGAAAGACAACAGTACACTGCACCAACATCCCAAAATCCCATCAAGAAGCAGCACTTGGTTGACCCGCCGTCAGTGACCACGAAAACCGGTGCGCCACGTCTTCAGACCTTCAGACCTCGACTCTACATAGACCGATAGACCGAGCTCGAGCTCGACCGATAGACCATCTATCCAGTTCTAGTTCTATCCTCCATCGCTGAACGAAGCTGGATCCGGAGTATCCGGAGTATCCGTGCTGGTCTGAGCTCAGCTCGGTCCGAACAAGGTTCGTCGATCGTCGAAGGTTCGATCACTGGGATGCCCGAACACCAGAAACAGCATGCCCATGACCATCAAAAGAAGTGCCTCGTGAACCCGTCTGAAGCCAATCAAAAGCTACATCAGTAATACGGAAACCCCACCCAAAGCAAATTCCATGTCTTCACACGCCTATACATTTGTTGGGCAATGTCTAAGTGCCGGACAATCACATACACTAGATAAGCAAATCATATACACATCGATGGTGTTTCTATGTGTTTCTGACTTGCAGTCTGTCCAGTGATCCCCAATTTCAAGGACTTTCAGGCATTCCTCATTCCTGCCTACCCCACAAGCCACCACCCAGCAGTTTGCATAACACCATGCGTTGTGGCACCCTGGGACACTGCTTTGACCCGCTACATGACATAGACTCCTACGCACATATTATATATACTGTATATATATGTATGTATGATATTACAGTATATATAAACTCAGTCACAGGCTTTTTTCCTCGCGTTGCAGCAAGCTTGTCAG